TTTTATTTATAATTGAATGTGTGCGCAAATGTTTTAATATGTTTAACAGTCACCCCACAAACACACACACAGGCACACATACAAAGGCGAATTGCGGTGAAAGTGACCGCAGCTTTTAACTGTTTGTTGTCGTTGTTTTTGCTATTATTCTGATATATTTTGGCATTTGTTTGCGCTGCCTGTTGCCATGCAAATGAAATGAACAGTGTTGCCACATAATTGCAAATGCTGCAGCAAGGCACATTACTCACGCACACACACACACACACACATTAGCAGCCGGCACAAGTTCAGTGCAAGCCGAAAACCAGTTTCATCATGAATGATTCTTTTTAATTCTCTGATTCACACGCTGCAAAAACAAAAACAAAAACAAAATCAAAAAGCCACACATTTGGCGTATGCGTCACGGCGACGACATTCAAATGGCATCTGACAGTCATGAGCATTAATCACCAGTGTTGCCCCAATTCTTAAAGCAGCTAGCTTAACATATAAGCCATAATATATACTATATCAGCTTCTTTATATATATTAATTATACATATATATATATATATATAAATTTTAATTCAGTTTTCATTAAAATTTTAATTGAATTAAACAAATATTTTGCATTAATTGAAACTGAAATAATTCATACTTATAATTCCATTCAACTCACAACCCAAATGACAACAGAAAAACGAAAAGTTTTAAAGCTTTTAGCGTATTTGCATTTTGAAAACAAACTTTGACAACACTGAACAGCATGCAACTCATGGAGTGTGGTCACACACACACACACACAGAGAGAGAGAGAGAGAGAGAGAGAGACACAGTTGAGTGTGCCCATCAATCAAAAAAAAACTATGCGCGTTGCCATCAGTCAAGACAGCTTATCAATTGCACGAGTTGTGCTTGTGACCGATCGCTGTGTGACGTCACAAATGTACCAACAATCAAGAGAAGCCAAACTAACTGTTTTGTACACTTATACACACGCATAAGTGTGGGTGTTTGTGTGTGTGTGTGTGTGTGTGTGTGTTTATTTTTAACCAGGCAGCAACAACTTTTCGCATGCATCATTATTTATTTTTGGTCTACGAGCAAAATCAAAGGCAACGGCAGCGGCAGCGCAGCCCCCACGCAGAATCCCACACGACGCGCCAATGAAATTTCACGCGCAGCTGGCAACTCTGCATTTAGTGGGTGGTCGCTTCCCCACCCCCCTTAACCCCTCCTCTATACCCATTCACTATCTTTCGCTTGCGGGGCGACGGCAAAGTAGTTTTCTAAAACTAAACGAAAACCTAACGATCCAGCAACGTTTGACGTCAACACACAATGAGAGAGGGAGAGAGAGAGAGGGAGAGGGAGGAAGAGTGCGGGCGTGTGCTTCTACTTTCGCTTTGCACACAAACACACACAGTCCGGCGTTATCAGTGTTGACATTTTAGCTTTTTTTTTTGCAAACTTGTTTAATTTTACAGCTGCATGAAAATCTGGCTATTTGGTTTCGAATGAAATGCGTTGGATAAATTAATAAAATCAAAACATTCGCAGTAAATAACAAATGGTAACATTGGTAGCAGTGTTGGCGACTTTTTGGCCAGTTTTGTTTAGTTTCAGTCATTTGTTGGCTATATTTAAATGCGAGTGAGTTTGGCTTTGTTTTGGGCAGCAGCCAAATAACAAATAGTGCAGCAAAATTCAGCCTTAAGATGTTGAAATTTAAAACTCATCTAGACATTTTTGGCTAAATACGCTTTTTGAAAGTTCAAAAGAATTTTGGTTTTCTTTTTTTGCGGCTAACAACTCGTACTATTGTGATTCAGCCTTTTTTTAAGCTGCAGCTGGCAACACTGGTCTAAGACTCTCTTGTTTTCTCTGTCACACACTCGTTTGCTAAGACAGCAGCGCACGAACGCGCGCACGCACGCACGCACGCACGCACGCCTGCTCTAGTCGCAGACGCGCGCGTCATGCGTGACCCAAATAGCCGCCATTGCTGCTGCTACACATATTTCTCTCTCTGCTTCTTGTTGCTAAAACAGCGACTAAATGAAACAAATGCAATTAATATTTAACACAAATACATAGTATGTATGTTAGAAAGTAATTTGCGCAACAGTAAATAAATGTTGTGCATGTGCGTGTGTGTGTGCGCGTTCCCGTTTTTTGCTTTTGGGTGCGCGCAGCACTAAAAATACTTTGTAGGCGTTTTTCGGGCCGTGCTGCTTGCTGATTAGCCCAAAAAAAAAAAAAAAAATAACAACAAAATTTTAAAAATAATAATAAAACGACAGCAGACAACGCTTTTGAAAGCATTTTCTTTTAAGTTTTTTTATCCATTTTTTTTCTGTATGGCTTGACTTGCGCAAAAAGCAAAGAGAGACAGCGAGAAATGCTTTCATTTCATTTGTTTTTTTTTCTTCTTTGTATTTCGTTTTTTGGTTAAGTGCGTAACGGAATGCCCGCTGGCACACACACACACACACACTCGCACACACACACAAGCAGAGACATACGGCAACGGCAAAATTTACATTCTCGCTACGTTTATTATACATACGCTCTCTCGCCTTTTGTTTGGTTCAAAGTTCAATGACCGATTTCGCCGCGTCGAATTCAACGACGCAGTCGTCGTCGCCGACGTCGTCGACGGCGTCGCCGTTTGCCAAACGCACAGAGACAAGGTCAACGCAATAATCGAGTTGTTTCGCCTTTTTGCCTAAAACGCAATAACGCTCAAATAATAAGCATTAATTAAGCGACAGACAAAAAAAAAAAACATCTTTGAAAAAAAAAAAAGAGCAGCAGCCGTTGCAAAGGTTTGCGCAATGACAATTACAAATCTGCTCTCCAATGTCCGAGCACGTGTCTGTGTGTGTGTGTGTGTGCAGCCCTCAGAGCGAATGTCAAAAAGTGTGCAAAAATGTTGCACTAAATATTTAAAGCGTTAATCGATAATTTGCAACGGCCAAATGCCATTTGCTGGCATGCGTGAGAGTGAGAGAGACGAAACGGGCCGCTTGCGTGTGTGTGTGTGTGTGTGTGTGTGTGCGTGCGTGTGTTCATCAATGACGCCGACGCGCAACTTTGACAGTGGCATTGAAATTGCGAGCAGCGACAGCAGCAGCAACAACAACAACAACAAGCTGTATTTCTGATCATGCAAGCGTCGCTGTCGCTGTCGGCGTTGGCGTCGCAATTGCGCGCTGCCTGCGCAACAAGAATAAATTCCAATTAGACAATTTCCGACTCACGCTCGCTCTCTCTCTCTTGCTTACACGCGCGGGCTGCGAAATTGCGACTTTGCAAGAATGTTGTTTATGTTATTATTGCTGCACATTGTTGTTTTATTACGGTTTATTACACACACGCACACATAACCCACATGCAGCTCTCTCTCTCGCGCGCGCGCTCTCTCTCTCTCTTTTGCTGATTAGAATTATAGCACAACAAAAGAATTACTTTCACCGCCTCCTCAACTGCCTACGACAATGACGCGGCTGTTTTTCAACTATGACTGTGCTCGTTTCTATATTGGTGTGTGTGTTTTTTTTTTCTAAATTTGAAGCGCAGTTTTTAGTCAGCGCCACCCACCGATTGCGCCGTCAAATGGCAGCAGCACGTGTAAAGCGTCCGCTTCGTTTGTGTTGTGTGCGCGTTGAGCGTACAGCGCAGTGTTTCATCTAACCCCCCTTCCAGTCTCCTCCCCCACCCGCTCCCCACACAGACTCACGTTTTACCTCCGATATTTCTCCTGCTGCTGTTGTTGTTGTTGTTTTCACAGTTATTTGATTTGGCAGCGTCGTCAGCACAATTGCTGCGCAATATTAACAATAATAATAATAATAATAATAATAACAAGAAAAAGGGAAAAGCAATGCCAACTGAAATGTTTTTTGAAAACGCATTTAACTAATCTGCGCTTTTATTGCCAACAACCCCGCCCCCGCTCCCCTCTAGCCTTTTGAAGCTACGCGAACTGCAGAGTGACAGAAGAAGAGACTATTTTTCTCTTACTGCGATCCTGCGCTCTGTTAAAACAAAATGTACAACAAGAATAGTTTCTTTGCACTTGCTTTACATCAAGGCTGAGACCCTTTGTGAAAATATGAATCGCTATTGATAAGATTTTCCTTATATTTCAGGAGCCTAGCATCTCGTCCTGCGAGATGTTACACATTGCATTACTTAGTTGGAAACCACTTTTAAGGAGTACCAAAAATGGCAGATTCTGCTTAACATAGCTTAAATGTTAATAACAGCCGCTAGCTTAACAGTCTTCTGTTAGCTGCTAACTTAAGTCTTCACTTAGCTGCTAGCTTAACAGTCTTCTCTTAGCTCCCAGCTTAACAGTCTTCTGTTAGCGCCCAGTTTAACAGTCTTCTCTTAGCTGCTAGCTTAACAGTCTTCTGTTAGCTCCCAGTTTAACAGTCTTATGTTATGGCAAGGGAGAGCATAATTAACAGCTGTAAAGCCATTTATTGAATAATATGCGATTGGCATTTGGGTAGAATTGATATAAAATCTATAAAGTTGACAAATAAAACTGAATTCATAAAAACAATAACTAACTATAACGTTGTCGTATGCCTGTCTATGCGACGCCAAGGGTCAGCGTTCATTTTTATTGCGCTTAACAGCACTTACACTTTTAACACTGGCTTTTTTCGTTATCCTTGAGTAAAACAGTTGAAGAGCCACACGTTCAAGTAAATGTCTCCCTGATCAGCCTCTGTCTGTCCATTATGCAGCTTTAATGATCGATAACTTTTAGCGCTTCCTTCAAAAGAGTTTTCGGCAGAATTTTACAGAGCATAATCCAAATATCAAGATATTATATTATGTATACAACACGCAGATCAATAACATTTCACATATTGTAATTCCATTGAGTGTATGCACATCCATAAAGATTTTCCTTAAGCCCAGCAAATAGGATAAGGATATATTATATAACATTCCCATCTTGACTAAACTTAAACATTTACTTCACATTTAGATGTAAGTTAATGTCAACAGCATGCGAGTTGTTAAGTTTGACAGCACGAATTGTGACATTTACCAACACTGTTTATCGAAAAGTGCCATCACCATGAAATGGAAATGCTTCTCTCTGCTGCTGTTCCTTTCGCTCTGCCGCGCGGACGACGACTTCGACCCGGATCAGCTGCAGGCCGAGCACGTGATGGCGGGCCTGTCGCGCGACGAGGATGCCGACGGCACGACAACAACAACAACAACAGAAACAGCAACAGCAACAGCATGCGGTTCAATGTCGCAGCAAATGTCGGGCAAGAACCGGCCCCAAATGGCGGCAAGCATTGCGGCAAAGGCCGCCCAAGTGGCCACCGCCGCCAATGATGCCCAATCGAATGCGGCCGAATGCGCCGCCAAGGAGGTGCGCATCCAGCTGGCCGAGAAGGCCGTCCAGGCCTCACGTGCCGTTCAAGCGGTGCTCGAGGGCAAACGTGCGCTTCTCGATAAGATCCAGCGCGAACTGCGCGCCGCCGAGGAGCTGCTGGCCAAGCTGAGCGCCTCGCTCCAGAACAGCGAGGCGAACACGCAGCGCGCCGAATGCGCCGCCAAATCGGCGGAGGCGCATTTCGCACGTCTAACGGAAATTGTGCAGCTGATCGGCGGCAGCGTCGACGACGTGGACGCGCTAAATGAGCTGGCCCAGATCGATTACAATGAGAAGCGGCAGATGCTGATCGCCGCCAAGGAGCGCAGCGAGCGCATCCAGAAGGATATCGCGTGCGCCCGCGACGAGTACGAACAGGTGAAAATGGCCGCCTATCAGGCTGCCTGTGCGGCCGTCGAGGCCAAGCAGAAGGCGGCCCACATCTCCGAGAGCGGCAGGCATCGCAACAGCCTGCGCCTGCGTCGGCGTCGGCGTCGGCGTCGACAGCGGCAGCAACGTCGGGCGTGAGTGTGAATGTGCATCTCCTATATATCAACTATATATAAATATCCGATCGATCGATCGATCGGGCGACATCCGTTGGCTCCCATTGCGTTCCTATCTGAGGCGTGTCTCTTGTTGCAGCATTTGCCTCCAATTACTTTTATTTCTTTTTTTTTTGTATATTTTCTTTAAGAACTTTTCATGCGAAAATAAAACCTGTTTGTCAGAGGATCGACACGTGTGCTTTCAGCTGATTCCTCTTCCGTGAGCTTACAGCTTCGCCACTTCCAAAAGCTTTCAGCTTAATCCTTTCGTGTGCTTTCAAGTATTTTAGATGGGGTAATGTTTATTTAGATGAGCTTTCAAATGCAGCTTACAAGCTTCCTTTTTTATTCGAGCTTTCAGCTGTGTGTTTGTATTCCCGCATTCTGAGAGCTTTAATCTAAAGCTCTTTCGCAACGTCCGAGAGCTTTCAGCTTAAGCTCTTTCGCAACTTCCAAGAGCTTTCAGCGTAATCCTTTCAAGTTTATTTGATGATAAAATATATATTCAGATCAGCTTTCAAATGCAGCTTACAAGCTTCCTTTTTCATTCGAGCTTTCAGCTTAAGCTCTTTGGCATCATCCTAAAGCTTTCAGTTTAGGCAAATCTTTTCGTGTGCTTACAAGTTTGTTAGATCAGATAAAGTTGACATGAGGTTGCAAATGAAGCTTTCAATTGTGCTGACGAGCATGGTCTTCCACATGATTATATGAGCTTTGTGCTTAACTTTAAGCTTTTTGCGCATTTTCCAATGTTCTGTGTTTTCACATTCCATGAACTTTTAGCTAGAACTGAAGACTCTTCTGTGCTTTTTACCATATTATATAGGAAGACATATACTCGTTCTAAACCTAATAAACCTAATAAATGGCCATAATATTAAAATTTTTCTTGATTCCATGAGCTTTTAAAACTAATTAAAGCTTTTAGATGTTGACAAAGCTTTTCTTAAAGGAAAGTAACCAGAAATAAGAAATTCGACTATTGAAATAAGAAATCATGTGTTAATAAATTGTGAAAATGTATGAAATTTTGCTTATGTTTTCTTTCAACCCCATTGAACTGAGCAACTGTCCAAGCTGGAGTTGGGAAAATTGATGCATAAGTTCTGGATATCGTAAGCATTTGAAGGTTATTTGCAAATTCCGATATTTTCACGCGTTTCGCGCCAATTCACGAAATGCGAATGGAACAGAATGTGTGCATACACATGTTCTCTTCCATAGTCTTTGAACCCAACCGAACTGAGAAGAGCTCAGAGAAAGAATTGGAAAAATTTGTGCTTATTTAGATTATTTGTCATATTTTCACGCGTTCTGCCCCAATTCACGCAAATCATCAAAGTGGAAACGAGCCTATCTCGAAACGGCATCGTTTTTCTTATAAGACACAAAAAAAACCTATTAAAGGGTATCTACACAGCCTTGCGGACTCTCTAGAGAGCATTTTAGCAAAACGATTAAGTGAAAAAAGATCTCAGCCTGTTTGTTTTGAATGTGAAGTTCATAGGAAATGAGGCGCTGATGCACCTGATGCCACATGCGCGATTGTTTTGCATTTGCGTTTTTGTTTATGTTTATGTGAAATGAAGAAACAAAAAAAAAATAGGTATCGTTTGCATATTTTGCACAAATGCGTGAGCGTTTTTCTCACGAAAAATTGCCAGAAGCAGACGAGAAGAAAGAACAACAAGGCGAGGCATAAATAAACAAGATACAAGGGCAAATAAAGTGCGATTGTTTTATGCGAAAGGGCAAAAGCAAATGACCCAAACGCAGAGGAACGAAACGAAATGAAATGAAATGAAATGAAATGGTGGGAAACGAGTGGATTAACGGAATCGCCGTGTAACGACGTTTCAATGTTGCCAATTGCCAAACAGCTGCTGCTGCTGCTGGCGCCCTCTGCACGCGTCGCTGTCCAGCTGTTGATGGGCCTTCGCCTTCGCCTTCGCATTCGCACGACGACAGGACGGCAGCAAAAGGGAGAGAGCGAGAGAGCGTTTCTTACTGTTGTTGTTGTTGTTGTTGCTGGGTGCTGCCTGCCGGCAACGTTGTTGAAACTTTGTGCAAACGGGCAGCAGCAGTGCGAGAGAGCGAAAGAGTGAGAGAGAGAGCGCGCGTGTTAACGCTCTCTCGCTCTCAATGGCAGAAAACAGCGTGCGATTTGTTGGTGAATTTGGCTAAACAACAAATTGTAATTAAAATGCACCAAGACAAAGGGAGAAACAAAGAGATTGAGTGCGAGAGAGCGTCTAGTAAAATGGCAGAGAGAGCGAGAGAGAGAGAGCGCGTGGCAAACATATTGCATTTGTTAATTCAAGAATTTTGGTTGTAATTTTCTTAAACGCATTTTTATTAAAATTAAACAAACAAAAGCAGCGCTGCCGCGTCGCTGCTGTTTGCGCTTCTGTGCAGACAAAGCGTCGACGTCGACATCGGCAGCGGCAGCGACTAGCGGAAAAAGCAGCGTGAGAGCGCTGCGGCTGTAGCTGTACACGACCATCTACATATACATATGTGTTAGTGCTTGGTCTGTCTGTGCGTGCGTGTGTGTGTGTATGCTGTCAAACGTCGCTGCCCGCAGCGCTGCTGCTGCGGCGGCGTCAATGGCTTTTTAAAATTCTTGTTTGCCTTTTGCCAGCATTTGAGCACATGTATATGCGGCTGTATGTTGCTACCTGGCGTGCACACCACACACACACAGACAGAAACCGCACAAACACACACACACACACATGGATATTTGCGGACCGCAAAACCACATGCCTTCCCAATCAGAAACAGAAGTGCACAAGCAGAAAATGCCGGCAAATCCAATATGTTTGCGGCGGCGGTGGCGCTGCCACCGTCTGCGCGCAAAATGTAACACGGTGGCAACGCCGGCAGCGACGTTGACGCCAGCAGCGGCAACGCGTTCAACATAACCAAACAAATTTGATGCTGTTGACTGGCTGGGCCGAGACTGCGACTCACACTCACACTCAGACACACACACACGCGCGCGCAGGCAAGCATACACATGCATATGTGCATATCAATACATACATACATAAATAAAAGGCTGCACTTACATGTTGACTGTTACTGTTTGTTGTTGTTGCTGCTGTTGTTGTTGTAGTCGTTGTTTTTGTTAAAAATTGTTGTCAATTTTGTTGTTGTGGTTGTCGCCGTGGGCAGCGCCATACAAAAAAACATGTTTCACTTGAAGCTAAAGACGACGACGGCGACGCTGCTTCTGCTGCTGCTGCTTCTGCTTACACACAGACACACGGACACATATGCACACATATACATACGTATGTATGTACACACTGGCTGACAAACAATTTTGCTTATTTTCTTTTGTTTTTTTTTTTTTGTTATTTGTTTGGTACGTTTGTTGTTGTTGCTTGCTGCTGGAAACGATTCATAAATAACATACATATGTATATGCACGCACATAGAGCGGGAGAGAAAGAGAGAGAGAGAGAAAGAGACATTAAAACATATTCAACAATAACTTTTAGCACACTAACAAAAAAAACAACATGAAAAAAGCGCTGTCGCACGCATACACAGGCAGCGAAATGCGACGGTGACGACGCTGCGGCTAACAAAAGAGCGCGTCGCAACAGCGGAGGCGGAGTACAAAAAAAAAAAAAAAAAATGCTCACTAAAAAGAACACAAAAAAAAAAAGAAGAAAAAAAAACAGACAACGCAACGCGAGGCGACGATTAATTTTCGATAACTGGCGCTGCAACTTTTTTCCGCTTCTTTGATTTTCAATGCACTTTTAGGCTTGTTTGCTTTTTAAAAATATAGTTGTGTATATTTATTAAGAATCCAAAATACAAAAAAAAAAAAAGACGCAGCACAATAACAAAAAATAAATGCACACATACACAGTTCGTATAACGGTGGAACGGCGCGACGACGACAGCCGATAACGAGAACAGGCCGACGACGACGGCTTTTTTTCACCAACCTTTTTTACTGCTGCTGCCACTGCTGCAGCGCTCGAAACATGCGCAAGAAAAGCGACAAACAAAAAAAAATGTGCTAATGTTAATTAAATGCGTTTTCACATATGCTTTAACTTGTTGTTGGTTGGCTTAATTGATTTAAATAGCCTGAAATATATTTTGTTGCCACACACGAAACGACGAAATGACGACAACAGACGACGATGGCGACAAAAAAAAAACGCGCGCTCACACGTCTGTACGTACCAAAGAGCAAAACGAAAATGAAGAGAAATGGAAAATACAAAAATACCAGCGGCATGGAAAATACAAAAAAATACTATATGTAGTGTGTGGAAACAGTGCTGTTAAATGCAGCAGCAGCAGCAGCGATAGCGACAGTGTTGAGCAGCGTTGCTGTGCATTTATGTATTTCCAGCACGTTTATTTGCTCGCACGCTTTGTAGCTCCTTTCGTAGCGTTGACGCACACACACACACACAAACCAACACTAACACCAGCACACACACACACACGCTGCTCATTATTTGCTGGTATACTTGTTTTGATTTTATTATTTGGCTTTGGTTGGCAACCGGGCAATGCACCAGTGTTGTCAACTGAACGCTGCACACATGCCCACTTGACTGTATTTGCTAAGCGGCTAAAAAAAACATGGCTCAAAATTGACGCTTGTTTTGCCACTTTTATTTCATTTTTCCATCTTTTCTTGCAACCAGAAGCTGACAACACTGCGCCCACAAAACACGCCCGACGCACCAACACTCACGCTATGCTGATTTACTGCTTGCACTCATGCATACGACATATGTACATATGTTGATGCATGCGCATATGCTAATGCACAATTTTTCACTACTATGCTTAAGACTTTTCGTTTTTTGAACAGTTTTTGTTTTATTTTCATAAACTCCACAAGAGCAGGGCTGGCAATCGCCAATAACTGCGCTGCCAGGACTTCAGCGTGTGCTATCGATTCATCGCAAACATATCGATACACAGGGCCGTGCATGCATGACAATAGCATCATGCAACGTTAGATGCAAAATAAATGTGATTATAATTTCTTAATATAACTTAATAATATTAAATAAATTTGTCACAAAATATGTTGATGTAATTGTATGGTGTTTTTTTTTTTTAATATTCAAATTTTTGTTGCCGATAATTTGAGTAAATAAAATTAGAATTGAAAATCAAGCAAACAATTTGAAAAATAACCATTTATAGAATGAATTTTCTTACTAGTGAGAAGAAGAACGCTCAACTAATAAGTTTGAGAAAATTAACAATTGCAAGAAAATTTCTTATGAAGGTAGTCCATTTATGTTAAGGTAGCTAATTTATTTAAGGATGCGTTTCTTATTCTTATAAGAGCACTCACTGTATATCCATCAGCCAAGAAACTAACAAAACGTCTTCTAAAAAATTGAATTTATTTGCAACAACAAATTCAAATAAAATGCGGGTAAATATCTCGCATTTGAATTGGCGCTCAAATGTGAATCGTTGCGCGGGACGCACATCTTCAGCGTTATCGATAACGATAACCCGATGCAACGCTGCAAAACGAGTTTCAGTTTGAAACAAACAAAAGAGAAGAAAAAAAAAGAAACGAAATTTGGCGATACGCGATCGCAGCTAAATCCAGATACGAAATACCGTACATACGTGTACTTGAGATAATTAAACGCAGCTATAAAAAGCCGATTAAGCGAAAGTTAAACAGCGCAGTGCAAGCAAAGCAGGCGAACCGATCAAAATGTCGACGCAACAGCAACAATTGGACTACATGGAAAGATATCTGGTGTACGATATCTACAAATATTTCGGCAAAGATGCGGTTCTCGACTCGCACAGCATCCAGTGCTCCAATGGGCTCGACGGCTTCATGTCGGCGCTCTACACAGTGCAGCTGGACATGAAAATCGCCGGCAAGTGGGTGTGGCATAATTGAATCCCCCAAGGCTGGCAAAAAGTCTCGCTTCCCTTTGATAATCTCTTACAGCGCCCGCCAGGAGCTGGTGCTGGTCAAGTTCATGAAGGGCAGCCCCGAGTTCCGTGAGTCCAGCAAGTCCTACACCCAGTTCGCCAACGAGATCTTTGTCTATGCGGAGCTGCTGCCCGCCTACGAGAATCTGTTGCGCAGCAGCAAACTGAACACGGATCTGGTCGAGCAGCTGGTGCCGCGCACCTATTGCGCCAAGTTCGGACTGGTAGAGGGTGAGCGTCGTCAGTTAGCTGCCTTGTTGCACTCACGTTTGACTCTGTATATATATATGCGACAGGTTTGGGCACGGCCAAGGAGTCGGTGCTGGCGCTGCAGCATCTGAAGCCGTCGGGCTATGAGCTGGGGCCGCGGCTGACGCTGCGCTCGGACCAGCTAGAGGCCATGTGCCGCATATTGGGCCCGTATCATGCACTGGGCTATGCCCTGCGCATACTGGAGCCGCATCTGCACGAGCGCCTGCGCGGCGAGCTCATCACGTTGCCGTTTGTGTTCGAGGCGAATGCACCCAATCTGTATGCGGTGCTCTATCGCGTCGCCTTCGATCGCTTCTATGCGTTCTACGATCGCTGTCGCGATCAGCTGCTGCAGCCGCAGGATGCACGCTTCGCGGAGGCGCTGCAGCGACTGCGCGACAAGTACTTCGGGCAGCCCGTGGAGCTGCTGGAGCATATACGCAGCCACGCCTTGGATGAAACGCAGCCGGAATCGCATTTCAGCACGTTCTTGCACGGCGACTTCAATCGCAACAATGTGCTCTTCCATGAGGATGCCGAGGGCAAAGTGGACGACATCCGGATGATCGATTTTCAGGAGATGCGCTACAGCACCGTCGCCATAGATCTAAGCTTCTTTCTGTACATGAACACGCCGGCCGCGGAGCGTGCCACAATCTTTGCCCGGCTGTTGCGTCTATACCATCAGCATATGCACGATACGCTGGAGCTGGTGCTGCAGCGGAATCACGACACGCTGTCCGAGGAGAAAATCAATCAGCTGCTCAGCGATTACAGGTGCGTAGCAGATGCTATTAAGGCCCGTATTTAGCCTAACCATGTCTAATCCTCGCCAGCTACGAGCGCTTCGAGGCGCACTTCAAACGCTACGCCTTCTACGGCGTCATGGTCTGCATGCACTTCATGCCCTGGCTGCTGGGCAGCGAGGCCGATTGCGATCGGCTCTCCAAGCTGTTCGAGACGGACATGCACGGCGCCGAGTTCTACGAGCTGTCCATGAACATTGCCGGCGATGCGGCCAATCGCCAGATACTCGATGTGTTGCGTCACGCCTTCGAGCAGGGCTACATGGACTGGATTTGATTCCGAGCTGCAATCAGCACAAATTGTTTCACTTATCAGCCTTGTCTCACATGTTCCACGCGCACTATCTAAACCTGTTATCAAATTACCCAAAAATGGATGCCTGCTCTGCATTCTTATCAATTAGCTCCATTCCGAATTCCATTCATGTTAACATCAAATGTTATGCAAGGCGCTGTGCCAACACTTTACATTCCAAAAACGCGTGGAATTGAAACGAAACAAAAATTGGTTTCGTGTATTTAAAGAAACACGTGAAAATGAAACGCCATTTGCTTGTAATTGTAAAGAAAACTTCCATTTATAGCTTTGTTCCATTCAATAATGTCTCGTAGAAAAAGAAACACTTGAAAGTGGAACATAATTGTTAAGCCAGTTTTCATTTCATTTTATAAGAAAAACAAGTGCAAATTGTTGTATATAAATGCCAAATAATGTTTAAGCTAAATTTCAGAACGAAAGAATTGAACAAAAAGTGTTTGAATGGAACACTTGCATAACTGTACATTATTTGTAACACGATAATTTGTGGTTAGAAACAAGTGAAAATGAAACAAAATGTGCCTTAATGCCAAACTATCTAAATAAGCTCACCAAATTGTCAAAATTTAGGAGTTCAGAACATTGAAAAGGACTTCGGAACAGGCTTATTTTACTATATATATATATACATATATACACATACATATGCGCATATGCAATAATCTGTTTGTTAACGATATTCAAGTGCAATTGGAAACATATTTTGTGATGTCTTTAAAGGCAAACTATGCGCACATATTTACACATTTATTGCTATTTACAAACAAATGGAAAAGTGTAATCATGAATTAAATACGTTTACGCACATTCAACTGTGTTTAAGTTAGCAACAGGCTTTAACGATGTGTCGAAAGATTAAATAATTATCGCTTATAAAGTGATCGATTGCAATATTCCAAAGATTAGCTAGCTCGCAATTGTTGGCATATTTTATATACTTTCATTTCTGTTGCAAGTGAAATATTCTCAAATTGTATTTTATATTATTGATATATTATATTGTATATGCCAGCGATTTATGCTAAAAATGTCATGGTTCGAGATCGATATATATCGATACAAATCGATAGTAATCGAAAAAATCGATATTTATCAATACAAATCAATAGCTATCGATACAAATCGACAGTTATCGATCAAATATATCTTTATCAACAAAAATCGATATTAATCGATTACAGTGAAAGGATTTACTGCTAAGCTCATTCTCCATTTGTTATCGAAGCATTTGGATTTCATATTACATGTAACTATCTTTTGTAGATCGCTGGCTCGACTCAGCTCGACGCATAAATACCCTGTAAATGTTGGAAAATGCTTTCCTCTGCCCGTTTCACGCATTTCCAACTTCTAATTCACATATAAGATAGATTTCTATTGCGACCTTGAGCTATTCTAAACAAAAATCGAATTATAGATGGGTTGCTCTTCTTGGTATTTCTAGGATCCGTCCGATTTGAATGCATTAGCTCTCCATAGCTTAGCTCAACTGGCAGCCCAGTTCGTTGAGGCTCCGAATGATTCACTGCAAAGCGTTTTCCTGACAATTGGCGGGGCAGTACGCGACATTCGAGCAGCTATCAGTCGAGTCAAAAGCTGCCCTTGATTCACATTTGAATATTTATCTAAAGCCACAACAAAAAATAGCTTTAAGAATTGTTTCACATGTGGCTCAAAGTGTTTTTTTTTGGCTTTTTTATTTGCACAACTGTTGGCTGTCAATGCGGTCTATAAAATGCGAACGAGTCGCAGATTAGGAGCACAGTTCCAAATTGGTTGAAGGCGGCGTCCAAGATGCGTTCAATGGCAGCCTGGCTATTGATGACCCTGCTGGCCAGCACAGCAGCAGCTGCCGAGCAGCTTTCCACGGAGCTGGACGACTATGCCACAGCTGGCAGCGAGGATATATACTTGCAGCCCAACAGCGGGCAGGCGGCGGATGAGGAGGACGACGAAGATGCGCAGTACCTGGATGTAGATGATGAGAAGGATGAGGATGAGGAGGAGGAGGAGGAGGAGGAGGAGGAGGAGGAGGAGGCGCCGGCACAATCCCTTGGCAATAACATCGATGCCATCGGCCTGGATGAGAACAGCTGCGAGTTCAGCTGCCCGCGCTATTATCGGCCCGTTTGCGTCAGTCGCAACGACGAGCTGATCACCTATGCCACGCCCTGCGAGTTCTTCAATCAGCTGCGCTGCGCCAATGTCGCGCGGCAACGGGGCAAGGAGACGCCCACCTTTCAGTTGTTGTACCACAATGCCTGCAAACAGAATACACGCTAAAAAAACTATGCTCCTTTTTTGTTATATGATTGATTGATTGATTGATTGACTGACTGACCGATTGATGATTGACGCACAGGCCAGGCAGACGCCAACAAGCAAGCAGAAAGCATGCTGAAAGTCTTATCCGAGATATTAAATGCATCTCTTCGGTTGATTGACTGACTGATTGATTGATGATTGACGCACTGGGCAAGCATACGCTCTGCCAAACCTGGATACAAGAGATACCACTGAAAGCGTTAGAAAGAGAGAAAAGATAATAAATTGGTTCTTAATTGAATTGTGTGATTGATTGACTGACCGATTGATGATTGACGCACAGGCCAGGCAGACGCCAACGCTCAGCTTTTGTACTTTAATGCCAGCAAGCAGAAAGCACGCTGAAATTCTTATCCGAGATATTAGATGCATTTCTTCGGTTGATTGACTGACTGATTGATTGATGATTGATGCACTGGGCAAGCATACGCTCTGTCAAGCCTGGATACAAGAGATACCACTGAAAGCGTTAGAAAGAGGGAAAAGATAATAAGTTGGTTCTTAATTGAATTGTGTGATTGATTGACTGACCGATTGATGATATGACGTTCCAAAACGACATAACTCCTCTTGGAGATATGACGTTCCAAAACGACATAACTCCTCTTGGAGATATGACGTTCCAAAACGACATAACTCCTCTTGGAGATATGACGTTCCAAAACGACATAACTCCTCTTGGAGATATGACGTTCCAAAACGGCATAACTCGTCCGTCCGTCCGTATGTATGAACGCAAGGATCTCAGAACCTACAAGAGCTAGAGACTTGAAATTTCAGATGTAGGTCCTCTTAGTGCCAGCGCAAATGGAGTTTGCTTCCGATAATCGATAACTTACTCCGTTTCCAAGCAATCGATAAAAATCGATATCGATATCCTGTTTTTTGGGCAATTTTGGTAAATAATAAGAGCCAGAGTCAGCAAACTTGGCATATAGCTTCTAAAATAGAATATATTTATGCATTTGATGTTGGAAGAGGGTTCAGGGTCTTCCCTAGTCGGGAGCTCTCGACTTAAGCCTCTTACTTGTTTTTACGTGTGATTGATTACTGACTGATGATTGACGCACAGGCGTATGGAAAGTCTATTTATGTATCTATATATATATCTCTCTCTCTCCATCTCTCCTCTCTCTCTGCTCTTAGAATTACAAGTTTATCGTACCTTGTCACATTTTGGTTATTTACAGGGTATACAGCAATAGAAACATAGTCGATTTTCTTGTTCATAATGTGGACTGTTTGTCTGCACTCTGACGGCACAGTCGTTGCCATTGGAATCGAATATTTATTATCAATACATATTCCTTAAATCTAGGTAACATTATTATCATGTCACGTTTACAATTGGCCAAAATACTGTTGGCAGTCCTTGGAACGTCTTCACGTATTGCTGGGCGGGGGAGTGGGGGGATATACAATTAGAAATGGAGCTGGCTGGCGTCCGTCTAGGCATCACGATCTGGCGGGCAGCCGCGTTTTAGGCCAGGCGTCGTTGCCAGCTGCCCGATGTCCACAAATGTGCTGCGACGCTTCAGGATCCGCTCGAGGTTGGACAACGGCGGTGTCGATGTCCTAGCTGCCGAGGTAGTGGATGTGGGCGTGGCAGTAGCAGAAGCAGCAGAAGCTGCCTGATTGCCGGTGAAGGATGTATGCCAATTGATGACTGAGCTGCGGCTATTAGCTTGCGCCGGCTGCGGCTGCGGGGGCGTGGCATTAAGGCGAGCATTCAGATCATCGGGATTGAGAGTCTTGCGCCGCTTGGTTAGCTTGGCAGACGGCTCCACGGGCTGCTGCTCCAGCTGTCGGCCATTGGACGTTATAGTGGCCGTGACATTGCGATTGAGCAGCTGGCTGATGAGCAGACGCGGTATCGGCGGCTGTTGGGCCTTGCGCATCAGTTCCGTGTACAATTTGAGCATGGAGCGTTCGTCCTGGAAGCGTGTGCGGCGCAGGCTGCTCTTGCTGATGATCAGGCCGTTTTGGAATTGATAGAGCACCTGCATTAGGAACTTTTTCAGATCCGTATACGGATGAACCTCCTGAAAGCGATGCACAGCATCCCGATGGAACGTATAACAATGCTGAATATACTCATCGAAGCCATCACTTTGAATGGCCTGACAGAAATTGCAATGCCGGAATTTCTTATAATGATCGAGCATGTGACGCAGCGTTTCCATTTCCGTGGTCGAGGCGAACATGCAAAAGGAGCAGTGAAAGATGAGCAGATCCTTGACCTGACGGAAACAGAAACGTTCCGGTGATTCGCTGTGCTCCACACGTCCGTGCTGCGCCATTGCCACATTTGTGGGCATTATCACGCGGCACATGTTGCACTGATAATACTCGTTGGGATATTCGCCGGGCGACTCCCGTGACTCCCTGACGGCGCCCAGCTTGAGCAGTTCGTTCAGTTCCCGATCCTTGAGGGACTTTAGATCGTTGGACAAATGCGCCTCGGTCACCATATGCTGGGCCAGACCCAACCAGCCCTGGTAACGATGATGGCAGAACGCGCACTCGTTCGGCTTGTTCACATCGCAGGCCACCAGATTGCGTATGGAATGCACATTGGGCAGATGATTCTCCAGCAGCGATTTCGCATTGCCAACAAAATTCCGGCATTCCGGACAGCGCAGTTGCGGCTGTACGCTGAAATAAAATGGATGCTCCGCATGCTTCTCCGCCCAATGTTGGGTGCGCAGCTCAACGACATCGCTGCTCGTCTCGTTGCAGTGGGAGCAGGTGAATTCGTATGTTCTCTGCAAGCAAACGAAAAGTATCGATTAATCGATAGGTCGATAATTGTTAACAACGCTGCAGCTGTGTCTCTTCTTCCCCTTTGCAACATAATACTTATAAAGAACGCAGTTTTGATCAACTTCCATGATTATAATCCAATCTTTATGTAATTCTCAGTGCATAAATATCGATCTTGCGACTTATCGAGAATAAATGTAATTAATGCCGTCTTTTGACCATTTTGTGAATGTGCATGGAACTTTTATAATGGGTGCAGGGTATTAACATATATTTTAAGAAGGAAAATCAGTTATTAAATAAAAAATAAAAACTATGCAGTTTAGTTTCCGAAAGATTTTTCTGTCATCTTTATGCATTTGAACTAAAACTGGGTCAGTGTGACCGTTTGCTTGATTATTAAGTAAATGTACGCAAGCATAGAGATCGATACAATGGCTCAAAAGTACGATAAGTATCGATTAATAGTGCGGAGTAAGCAACGGATAGTTAGATGATAGTTGGTCTGACAAAGGCTCACGTCTATGAAACGCACGAACAACGATCGATTAATAGTGCGGAGTAGGCAACGCAGATGCTAGTTGACCGGACCAAGGCTCACGACTATGAAACGCACAACAATTTAAATGGCGCATAGCGAGTAAAAATGCAGCTTACCTGTTCATAAGTCTCTTCATCCGACGAAAACAGCTCGATCTCATCGATAATAGTGGGCTCATTGGGGAAACTGTTGTTGCTGGTGACGGTGCAGGTTTTGTTGTTATTACTGTTGTCATTGTTGTTGTTGTTATTGCAGCAGCTGCTGTTGTTGCTGGGCGTCGTGCTTATCGATGTATCGAAAGGATGGGCCATAGCCCAATAATCGTCGTCGGGCATCTCGTTGGCCACCCGCTCGAACTGCTGATGGACAAGTCCCTTTTTGCCGGCATGATTCTCGTGCATATGGGTTATGATGACACGCTCCAAGGCATGCCCCTGCGTGCAGTGGGCGCATTTATATTGAAATCCAACCTTATGCCGGATCTCGCAGTGCTTACGCATGCGCTGGTAGTTGTTGGCCGCGCCGTCGCACGAATTGCAATAGAAGCCCAACGTATGCCAGTTCTTCATCTTGCATCGCTGATAGTTTTTAATCGGTTGCACCCGCTTCTCGGGATGTTCGCGTCGCATATGCTGCATCATTGCCGTCACATCCTTGTCGCACACTGTGCAAAACGGACAGCTGAACTGATGCTTGCGTCCGTGCACCTGTTCCATGTGGGCCAATATCTGGCTCTGGCTGGCCACCACCGCGGTGCACAGATTGCATAGCCAATCGTCTGGGTTGGTGCGTATACCCAGGGCTGAAAATTTAAATGAGTTCAGTTTCAATGTTCTGAATAGCGACCATAATTAATTGATGCTTCTTTCGTTTCTTCCCAGACCACGAAAAATCCATAAAGGAAGCCGACAACGGATGATATCTATTAGGCAAAAGGAAACAGGAAACGAATTGCATGTAGGAGACAAAGGATCCAGATGCATGTGAGCCTCTGGAGAGTCTAGTCTAGTAATCCCTCGAACTAAGTCAAGTCTGTTGGGCTTGCAAGCTTGAAATGTCTTCAGAATAGGAGCTTGCAACTGGTTATTGGTATACCTATGTTCCAATTATCGCAGAGGAGGGATTCGGATGAGGGATTGGGGTGTCATGAATTTGTTGAGATAAACCTCTTAAGAGAAACCTATTTGCTGGTTGGCGATCGGAATAATTACAGATGCTTCTTCTATGGACTCTCGGACGGGCAACTACTTCTAGGGATCAGGAATTCTATAACGCTACTGGGAGATCCTACCACGCGCTTGCCGAGCTTTGAGAACCTAACTGAATTCCGTGGGCCAGGGCATTAAGATTCCATTCTTCCAAAAAGAAAGATTCAAATATTGAAGAGGCCAATAAGTTTCGAGTTGAGTTGCTGGCACGAAATCGATAACTATCGATCTGAGCTCAAGTTCACTGCGGCACAAAATCGATACTTATCGATCTGATTTCAAGTTCAATGCGGCACAAAATCGATAACTATCGATCTGATCTCAAGTTCGATGCGATCGTAGGAAGACAAACAGACAAGGCTTATTGTCCTAATAAATAATCCTTTAACCCCCTTTTTAATGGTTCAATGGATCTTATCTAGATAAAAGGAAAGTTCCAATATATG